TGTGTGTGTCTGAGTGTGCGCGGGTGTCTGGCTCCATTGCTCCCCCTGGCTCTCTCAGCGGGAGCGGGGCTGGTCAGAGGAAAACCACAGGGATCTGCCTGACTGTTACCCCAGGCTACCCCCGAGGTGGGAATTAGTAGCAGGGCTGGGAGGGTCCCTGCTGGTTGCACGAAGACCTGAGTTCAAATCCCCAGTCCCAGCCCGCGCGGGGGCAGTGGAGGCAGGAGGATGCCCGGGACCCCGGCCAGAGCGTCCAGCTTGGTGACGGAGTTCCGGGTTCACGAAGACCGTCTCAAGCACAGTGGAGAGCGGGGTGAGGGGAGAGGCTGGGGTCGACCTCCCGCGGCCTCCCGCGCCTGTCAGCCAGAGGAGCCGAGGATCTCCTGTGGCCTTGGGCCGAGTCAGCGGGGACCTCCTGGAATGCGGCTCGCTGTGTCCAGAGCCCTGACACACGGTGCTGAGTCAGAGCTGGGGGGGGGGGCACAGCCGCTGTGACCCCGGGGAGCCCGGGAGGCGGCAGCAGTGGGGACAGAGGCCAGGGTGGGGGTGGCCTGGGGTAGGGCAGGTGGGGCCCCGAAGCCAGAGACGCTGGCTTTGCCGGGGACGGTGGTAAGCGCGGCAGCCATGGGCCGCCCGCCCCCAGGGGCTCCTGGCACACCCTCCACGGGGGTCCCTTGTGCCCTGGCACCCCATTGCTGGAGCGACAGTAACTTCCTGTCACTGGGGTGCAGGACCCGCTTGGTCTCAGGGTAGGATGTCCTGGGCCCTGCAGGGTGCTGGACTTAGTTCCCATCCACCACCAGCTCCATGCCAGCTTCTCATCCAGCGTGACAGCCACACGTGTCCCCAGATGTCCCCCGGGGCCCCCCGGTAGGCAGAGTCACCCCTGGGTCAGACCCCAGAGCTTCAAGGTGACCTTCCTGGAGGGAGTAATATCCTGGTTCTGATTGGGGCCCTTGGGAGCCGTAGAAGGTTCTAGTCTCATGATGACTGAAACCCCAGAAGTCCAACCCTCCTGACTGAAACACCAAGAAATGAAAGGGTGCCGTGGCCGTCACGGTGGACGTGTGTAACGCTGGCTCAGGGGGCACTGGGGAGCCTGGCCGGTGGGCAGGGGCCCCACACTGCTTCTCTGGCACCCCAGGATGTCACTTTTACATCTTGGTCCTCACACTGGCCTGGGGCTCTAAGAGAGCTGTACAGGGGGTGGGGGTGGTGTCCCATGAGCAGCCTCCCCGATCTGCCTCGCCTCGAACTCCGCACCCGCGCTCCGACAGCCCTTCCCCACGAGGATGCTTGCTGGCTGCAGCAGTCTGGGGTCCTGACTCAGGTCCCTGGTCCCCAGACGAGTGTCCATGCGTGAGCAAGGAGGAGACTTTCTGGAGACTGGGGGCAGCTCACCCCCCCCCCGTCAGCCCCCACAGTGAGTGCATCCCTTCGCCTTGACCCCACCGGCCTGCTGGGTCATGGGGGTGGAGTGAGGGGGTGTGGGGGGCGTGGGGACGAGGGTGGGGGTGCTTAGTCAGCAGCTAGGACCCAGGTTTCTCTTTTTATAATTCATTTGTTTGTAGTTAGTGTACATTGGTGTTTTGCCTGTGTGTATGTCAGTGTGAGGGTGTTGGGTCCCCTGAATCTGCAGATACACACAGCTGTGAGCCCGGAGTGGGTGCTGGAAATTGGAGCCAGGTCCGCTGCAGGAGCACCTGGTGCTCTAACCACTGAGCTGTCTCTCCAGCCCCCCTGTGTTTCTCTTTTTTTTTCATTATTAGTTTTTTTTTTTAGTTTATTTTGCATACCAACCACAGTTTCCCCTCCCTCCTTTCCTCCTGTTCCTTCCCCGTCATGTTTCTCTTTTTAAAACTAAGGTGATGTCTGGGGTGCGGTGGCGCACGCCTTTAATCCAGGCACTCGAGGGGCAGAGGCAGGCGGATCTCTATGTGTTAGGGCCCAGCCTGGGCTACAGAGTGAGTTCCAGGACAGCCAGGGCTGCACAGAGAAACCCTGTGCTGAAAAACCAACCCACCGTGATGTGCCCAGAACATAAAGTCTCCCATGTTAGCCGTGTCTCAGCCCAGCAGCACCAAGCTCACTCACACAGCCGTGTGTCCGTCCTCACCGTCTTCCCCTAACGAGGAAGCTCTGTCCTCACGTCACACAACTTCATCTTCTCCCTGGTCCCTGCATCCGACCCTTCCTGTGACGTCCTGGGAGCGGATCCTGGGGCGTGCATGGGTCTGAGTCTGGCTTGTGCACCGAGCATCCTGACCGCTCCATCAACAGGTGTCACGGTGGCTTCTCTCTCGTGACCGTGGAGTGACCTGTGGCACTGGTGATGGACCCTTGGCTCTGTTTCCCTGACTTCCAGGAACCACGTTGCTATGGATACGAGTCCCTGCCTCCCGGGGCTGTTGATCTCTGACACTTCCTCTCTGGTCTTCATACCCGCTTCCCTCTCCCGCCACTTACCCCCCCTCCCCAGACACTGGTCCCCGGGTAGAGCTGGCTGAGACTGGGAATGCATTGGTGGCCGAGCTGCGGCTCACACCCCAGCCCCCAGCCCCCCACCCCCTCGCCAGCCACATTGTTGTGGGAAGACTGGAGAATGTCACACTTCAGTAGCTGCACCTGGGGTGTGAAGCCTCAGAGCCCTGTGACCAGGGACCCAGGCGCCCCTCACAGCCACCGGCCTGGCTCCCTTCCCAGAATCAACTGGGGAACCAGTCGTGGGGGGGCTTTCCCTAAATGTGTGCTCAATTCTTGATTGTCCCCACCACCCCCACCCACCTACAAGGTTTCTCTGTGCAGTCCTGGCTGTCCTGGAACTCACTCTGTAGACCAGGCTGACATCAAACTCACAGAGATCCCCCTGCCTCTGCCTCCCAGTGCTGGGATTTAAGGAGTGCGCTACCACTGCCCAGCTTTTTTTTTTTCTTGACATATAGATGATCCTAAATTCCAGATCCTCTTGCCCCCCCCTTCCCCGATGCTGGGATGACAGGTGTGAGGAACTGTGCCAGTTTTACCCACTGGGCACCGACCCCGGCCCTGGGCTGGCCAGGCTAGGGTTAGTGTTCTACCCTCTGAGCAACAGCCCCAGCCAGAACCTGTGTCCTCTTCAGAGACAGAGGTCCAGCCCTACTAATTTATGTGTCCGCTGTGAGTTAACTCTGTGATGTCTGGAATGAAAGATCAATAAAGTGATTTTCAGGAAATGCCTACCGACCTTCACCCCACCGGGTGCTCCCCCGCACCTCCTCCTCCTCCTTGTGGACACTCTGTGACCACAGCTGGGAGCCAGCCTCACACCTGTCAGGACACCTGCGGCTGTGGGAACCACTCAAGCACCAGATCAACAGGATGTCAAAAAATGACAATTGAGAAAATGAGGCAAATTAGCAAGATGTGGGCTGGGCTGGGTGGGCAGAGCACCTGCCTGGCACCGGGAGCCCTGGGCTCCACCCCCGGCAGGGCAGAAACCAGGGCAGCTCAGGGTCGGCCTCGGCTGAATGGGGAGTTCAAATCCAGCCTGGGCCACATGAGACCCTGCCTCAAAAGAGAGCCATATGGACAGATGTCACCATGGCGGGCAGACGTCTCAGTCCATATGGACAGCCCCCTGGGTGCAGGGGGCCCAGGCTTCACTCCAGCAGGGTTCTGCACACAGCAGACTTCCTTGTTAAACCTTCCTTGCTGCGCCTGTTACCATAGGTAACCGAGGCCTGGTCCTGGTCCCCTCCTCCTCCTCCTCCATCTCAGTGGGTGGAGGGCTCCCTCAGCATGCTTAAAGCCCTGCTTCCATTCCCAGGGCCATGTAAACCGGAGGTGGTGGGGCACCTGTCATCCAGCGCTTGGGTTGGAGGCAGGAGGATCGGAGTTCATTGGAAGGTTAACCTCGGCTACATGAGACCCTATCTCAGAAATGCACAGACAGACAGACAGATGGGCCTTGGTTTGCAGACCCATTGGTTCTGAGATCTCGGAGGGGTCGGACGTGGTCCGGACCAATCGCACGCAGTGAAGTCTTTACAGCTGTGTGAGGTGAACGCGGGTCACAGGTTATCTTAGGGTGAAAGGAACCCCCAGCCAAGGGAAGGTCACTCGGGGTGATTCAGTTCTTGGAGGGCTGGGGTGATATCTGGGGACATGTGTGGTTGTCACACTTGGGGAGCTCTTAGCACAGCATGGGTAGACATCATCGGAGACTGGCCCCCGCACCCTGCAGAGACCAGGATGCCCCACAGAGAATGACCAGGCTCCGTGTCCACAGTGCCGAGAGAGGTCGGCTCAGCTATAGGAGCGAAATGTTTTTGTTCTTATTACTCTGTGTGTGGTGATGCGCACACTCACGTGCACACTCACGTGCACAGGTAAGCAAGACACGGGGTTCCTGCTCCCTCGCTCTCAGTCTCACTCCCCTGAGCCAGGATCTTTCTCTCTGTTTTTCCAAGACAGGGTTTCTCTGTGTAGCCCAGGCTGTCCTGGAACTCATTCTGTAGACCAGGCTGGCCTCGAACTCACAATGATCCGTCTGCCTTAACCTCCAGATGAAGGCGTGCACCTCCACCACCACCGCCGCCGCCGCCGCCGCCGCTGGGCAAGCCAGGGTCTTGCCTTGAGCCTAGAGCTAGGCTGTCAGCCGGTTATCCCATCACGCCCCTGCCTCTGTGCCCACAGCGTGGGGGTTACAGGCACCACAGTGGGCTTGTGTGTGTGTGTGTGTGTGTGTGTGTGTGTGTGTGTGTGTGTGTGTGTCTGTGGCCCAGGAGCAGGCTCCCGTGAGAACAGTGCCTCGCCTGTGGGGATCAGAGGCCACGTCCGAGGTTCTGGTGTTGGCCGCAAGCGCCTTTAGCAGCCCAGCCCTCTCACCGATTCCACATCTGGATTTTGCGGGGTGCAGGGCATTTGACCTCGGTCGCTCGTTTGTGCCTCAGCCCTCTGCCACGCCCCGACCTCCGTTTCTCATCTGTCTCTCTCTGAGACAGAGTCTCACGTAGCAGAGGCTATCCTCGAACTCTCAGCACGGTGAAGGCTGATCCTCCTGTCCCCACTGAGGGTGACGGGTGTGCAAGCCAGGCCTGGGCCTCTGGCACGCGGGGGGAGCCAGAGCTCTGTCTGCACTGAGCAGGGGGCCCTAAAATATGCTCATGCTGCACCATTAAGTTACGAAATACGCGGCGTTTCTCCTTCGACGAAACCGTGGCAGGTTCCCCACAGGCTGGGCCCCCCGACTGGGATCGGCGCGGGGCCTGGGGTGCTGCGGGGCCTGGGGTGCTGCGGGGCCTGGGTGCTGCGGACCTGGGGTGCTGCGCGGACCTGGGGTGCTGCGGACCTGGGTGCTGCGGACCTGGGTGCTGCGCGGACCTGGGGTGCTGCGGACCTGGGGTGCTGCGCGGACCTGGGGTGCTGCGGACCTGGGTGCTGCGGACCTGGGTGCTGCGCGGACCTGGGGTGCTGCGGACCTGGGGTGCTGTGCGGACCTGGGGTGCTGCGGACCTGGGGTGCTGCGGACCTGGGTGCTGCGGACCTGGGTGCTGCGCGGACCTGGGGTGCTGCGGACCTGGGGTGCTGCGCGGACCTGGGGTGCTGCGGACCTGGGTGCTGCGCGGACCTGGGTGCTGCGGAGGAGCCTGGGGTGCTGCGGGGCCTGGGTGCTGCGCGGACCTGGCCGCCAGGGGGCGGCACGTGCGCCGCTGGCCCCGCTCCCGCCGCGTCCCCGCGGCCCGAGTCCCGCGGTCTAGACGCTGGCGGGGCGGAATTCCTCGGGCCTGAAGTCAGCCGGGCCGTCCTCCCAGCCCGCTGCTGTCTGGCCAGGGCCTCGCTCCCGCCGTGCACGGGCCCAGGAGGGTTGGGGAGCCCGCGGGGAGACTTCAGGACGGGCGCCCCGCCTTCTGCAGGGCCGGGGGACCTCAGGTCTGCAGTTGAGAAGCAGGGGTTGGTGGGCGCCCTGGCCGGGCAGGAACCGAGCGGGGGTCACAGCACCGAGCGGGGGTCACAGCACCGAGCCGGGGGTCAGAGCACCGAGCCGGGGTCACAGCACCGAGCGGGGGGTCACAGCACCGAGCGGGGG